CAATTATAGAACTTACAACAACAAAACGTCGTACCAGTTCTCCAGTATAAGTAACCGTTTTAAGATGTGCGGTAAATGATATTTTACACGAAATATAGTCCGTATTAACGTTTTAACTGTAAATTTATTCACTTCTTTATTTTTGGGATCATGATATAATAACATCCAGCTATTCGGACGGAAATTAAATTTCCAGTGAAACCATTTAGACACGGTAACGAGGATCCATACACAGTACTTCCGTGGAAGCCCACCTCTGCAGAGAACACCGCCGGGATGGTAGGCAGCCTAACTCACTACGCAGTGCGGCGGGTCAGCACGGTACAAACCACGATGTTTAGAATGGGACAGTGACATCTGCATGTCCAGGGCTAGAGATACCAGTACCACAAGAAATCTTTATTGGAATTTAAGTAACTCCATCATCTGTTACTCTTGTTTACGACTGATCGGCACTATTTAAAAGACCGTTTTATAATGAGACTAAATGAACCACGTATGTGTGTCTGTCCATACATTCGTACAAGGCGACACCCCACACTCCAAATTTGTCTTAATAGAACCTTTCAGTATTGAATCTTGCTAATACATATGTCTTTATTACCTTTCAAAGTACAGTAATTGCTCTCTCTCTCTCTCTCTATATATATATAGAACATAAAGACCAAATTTTATCCAGAGATTGTGGACAAAATAATGGAAACACTATGAAATTGAGAAATATAAATTATTTGTGCTGGCTACATTGATGAAACTTCAATTAGCAACACTGAATGTTATTCTTCCGTTTGTTTACATGCTGTAGTGCTCACTAATGCACTTACGTGACGTAAGTGCATTAGTGATCGTGCTGAGTGGCAGAACGTGAGAAGGAATAGGCAAATGTGAGACCAGTCCGATTTTTAAAGAGGACAGATTGTTAGTGCGCCTTTAGCTAAGCATCTATGACAAAAACTACCATATAATTAGGTGTATCGGGAGTGACAATTTCTAAGGTTATACTGGCATATATGAATCATGCGAAGGCAACATCAACGAAGAAGAACAGTGGGCAAAAATTAACATTGACAGAAAGAGGTCAGCGTACATTGAGAAGAATTAAAAAAGAAAGCACAGAACTACTGCAGCACAGGTGACAGGATAGCAGAACTGAATATTTATCTTGAAGACCCAGTTTCCACAAAAACTGTCCAACGTAAGGTTCACAAATCCAACATCCATAGTAGGGCTGCAATTGCTAAATCTCAGATTACTGAAAGAATGCTCAGATGCGTAAACAATGGTGTCATTGTCACAAAACCTACTGGTAAAGCGTGATATTAACAGATGAGTCGTCCTTCACACTGTTTCCTACGTCAGGAAGAGTTTATGTTTGGCGAACACACATTGAAGCCTACAAGCCGAAATGCGTGGTTTCAACAATGAACCAGGGGACATTTTGTGATGGTTTGGGCAGCAATACCATGGTACAGTATTCTGTTGCCCCATTATTACCCTTCATAGACGAATAACTGCAAGGGAGTAGGTGGACAGGTTGGGTAAATCTCATGATACAGACGTTATTTCCGAACGATGATACAGTTTTCCAAGACGACAATACCCCTATTCACACAGTTGGAAGTGTTCAGTTATGGTTTGAAGAGCATGAAGGTGAACTTAACCTTTCCTGGCCAATACTATCACCAGATTTGAACATCACTGAACCATTCTGGTCACTTTTGGAGACTAGAGTGAGGAACAGATTCCCATCTCCAACATCTCTAAAGCAACTTGAAGATGTTCTTCAGGAGGAATGGTATAAAGTTCCGTTAGAGACTGTTTAAAACTTGTACGAGTCCATTCCAAGAAGGACTGCGGCTGTATTGAAGGCAAAAGGTGGTCCATCACCATATTAATAAAGAAATGTTTATAGTGGTATCTGTAGTGTTTCCATTATTTTGTCCATCCCCTCTATGGGTTTCTTAAGAGTCTCACTGTAAGCAGCGAGCATTTCCCTAAACAGCATTATTCGACTGGTATTTGCAATGCCAACGCGGTGTCTTTTCTATGCGGTAGGAACTGAATGTTTACATATTATTTAGATAAACTTCAGACTTAAAATGGCGAAGCCTGAAGTTTATACACCTCATTAAACTCTGGCTGGAGAAGAAAAAGAAGGAAGAAATGATACCTAACATCGTATTACATACAGTGAAAAGTATCTGATAAAATTTATGGAAAGGAGTTCACCGTGAAGAAATATTTAGGCACACATGACATGAGGCATATGTTTATATCTCATTAATGTCTTTAACTTGCATTTGAAATGTTTTTAGATATTAATTGAGGCCTATATTAAAAGGCAAACAAAAAGGAAAACACTTAGGGTCTTGTGAAAAGTTTTAGTTCTACTGGGATGCTTTCAGTTCAAATGAAACCTTCATAGAGCACTGGAATGTATAGCTCCATATTAAATTCCATCCAAACCGAGCAGACAGTTTAGGACATGAAACATGCAGATGTTTCTTATAATTTGCATCCAGGACTATTAAATGGAAATAAAGATGTACGTCCGTTTCATTAAAACGAAACTTGGCTTAGAGGAAATGGTACACAACTTAGCCTAATATCAGATCTCATGAAGTGCGGAATAGTAATTTGAAGGGCCATTTCTTTTTCGGAACGTGTATAAAGATAATTAAGAATATTTTTCTTTGGTCTAAGGTTCTCACAGCGTAATTAAGAAAAGTGTTGTATTCTGGGATGAAACGCCATGCAGTCCCATGGAAGTTCACAGACATTTCAGAGGAAGGTACTACCTACATTTTCAGCGTCGAAGAGTAGGCCAAACAAGAAACCAGTAATAAGCAATCGACACTTCTTGCTTGCTAACTGCTTCATGCTGGGTTTATTCTTTGGCCCTGAAGACGGAGGCGACATGTTCTTCCGAAACGTCAGTTGGCCCTTAACGGAGTACACGGCATTATATCCCAGACGATGGAACTCTTTTTAAGCACGGCTGTGAGAATTTCAGATCCTACACAATAATAAAAGTAGTCGATTTGCAATCTATTCAATAGCAAAGCAGGCTTCATCAGTTTTGCTCGGAACTCACTTTTAGCCCACTTTCCTTATTTTGAAAAAAAAAATAAAAGTAGACTTATGAAATTACCTCTGTGTCTAGGTGTGAACTAACTTTGAATGGCTGTATCAGTCTTTAGGAAACCTGATGTGAACGTGTTTCCTATAGCACTGCAATTTATTCTTTTGTGTACCAGCCCAGAAAACTTGCTTTCTCAAAGAACTCTCTAAACGAAGTCATTATAAAACTTGAAAGAAAACTGGATTAATAACACCTTAATACTGAAAAGCGGGCCACAATAGCTGCGCAGTCTAGCGCATTAACTGTCTTCATTTGCACGGAGGCTGGGATCGTGGGTTCGAATCCCATTCAGGGCATGGTTGTTTAGTGTGTGTATGCGTTTATCCTGTTTGTGTTCTGCGTTTAGGTATAGGCCTTGTGATGGGCTGATCACTCGTCCAAGGAGTCCTACTGTCTGTGAGAAATGATTACGGAACTGAATAAGATGCCTGGGCCCTGAATGGTCTGGAAGAACCGTTGAAAAAGAACGCCTGTTGAATAGTAGCTTTCATTTCAGTTTGGAAACTGGTCCGTATGCGCCGTAATACTCCACTAGTTTTGGTGAATAATGATGATAACATCTGGGTGAGACAGATTCTATGAGCATTGCTCCCTCAAATAGGCCTAGCTCAAGATGATGATGAATATAAATTTCTGTTAGTTATTTAGCAACACTTTCAATAGCTTGAGCAGTGTCAAATGAATGAATCATGAATGATTAGTTAAAAGAACTTGGAGGGAAAACGGTCATGATCTAACTGAGGCATTATCCTGGCATCTGACTGGAGAGACTGAGAAAAACCTCAAAGACTATTAGGCAAGATTATTATGATGGATGTATATGGAGCATCAATTGAATTCTAACTGGCAAGGAAAAGCTGATGTTAGTCCCCTGACTAAGCCCTCATACATATATAGCTCCTACTTGGGTCTATACAACCACACCACATATGCCTTCATGGCACAGTGCTTAATTACTTAAGCATATGGACAACTTTATCTTATATATTCAGATATACTTACAGTGAAACCTCACTAATTTGGACTTCGCTAATTCGGAATTCTTGATAATTTGAATGTTTTACTTTGCGCATTATGACCTTGATCACATTGTCACGATCAGCAAGATGTAGTAAAATAAGAGAACAAAAGAGGAGCACAAACCAAAATAAGTTCATTTTTTAAACACGGTCTCAATAATACTATGGGTGTGAGTTACCAAGAATGCTTTCAGACTGATGTCAAAACCTACATTTTATGAGAAGCAAATTTATTTTATGCTATACAATCGAAGTTTAAAAATACAGCTCTAGCGTTTAAAAAGACACATGAAGTCAATTTTATAACTTCCCTAAACGTATAATTCGGACTTTCACTAATTTGGACAAGGATTCACTGCCAATTAGTCCGAATTAGTGAGGTCTTACTGTAATCACACTGACATGAATCAGCTGCCTGATCTTCTCCTTTTTATTTATAACATGATGCACAATGTGTAGGTGAGTTGCATGAAAACAGCAGGGGTTTTAAAAGACATATCCTATTCACTTCCATCCCTTATGGGTCTTAGTTCTAACTATGGGCGCTGGCATGAGGGGGGTCAAATCAGAAATTCCCCCCCCACCTGGGTTTTTGTAAAAAAAGAAAATCAAAATTGGAGAAAAGAAGGAAATAACAAATATTAGTAATATTTTTTTTTAATATTCTTCTGTTCTCAATAACAATAATAATATTCAATTGTTTGAAATCAAGTTTTCTGCCCGCCCCTTGAAAAACTGGCTGCTACCCCAGGAAAACATCCTTGGGTCGTCCATGGTTTTAAGTCTTCTATAGTGTGAAATGGAAAGCAACAAAGTTATTATTTTTTTCTATTTTTCAGAATGGCAATGGGAACAGTGGACACAGCAGATGGTGTCAGATATTAGAAACGTGACTCGTGGGCCAGGAGCCAGAATGGGATCATCTCTGTGGTTTGATAGTTCTCCTAGTAGTTGGTGGCTGTTTGGTGGTCGTCAGGCACCACCAAGGAGTACCAAAAGCAACACAAAACTAAAAATCTACACTGACCTCTGGCGCTATGACACCAGCGCTCGGGGATGGAGTCAGATTTTCCCTATTAACAAGCTAAAGGGAAATGCTGGAGGAATGACCCTTCTAAGAACAAATCTTTTCAGTGATGGAAACACTCAAAGAATCACTGGGACCTCAAACAGCAATCCAGGTGTAGTTCTTTGTGGTCGCACTGAGGGGAAAGGGTTGGATGAGAGGTCATTGGCAGTTTATGCCCCAAGGAGTTCCCGCAGTGACACAGTATGGCAGCTTGAACTGAAGGATAAACAATGGACAGCTTATGTGTGTTGCTGTGACAACACAGAAAAATCCACAGGACAGAGTACCAAAAACAACAGTGCAATGCCAATAGGAACATTCAGAAATGAAACAAATGACACCAGAAACTTCTCAGTTACCCACGGTAGCATTCAAATTACTGATGATGGTTGTAATGATGCCACATTAAATCTGAACCTCAAAGAAGAGTTCAACAATTATAGTAACATTGACAATACTGGAAACAATACAAGAAGCTCAAAAGATGATGAAATTCAAAGCAGAACTTCAGAACATTCAATAAAAATGGACAACAGAGAATCAAATACTCCACTCAGCAATCAAGAAATTTCTTACAAATTCGACAGTAGTAAAAAAGAAAACAATGGAAGTATACCAACACAAACACCTAATGCTGAAGAATTTGTTAAAGACAATGGCAGCTTGTTCAGTGAGCACATCAGTGCCTCCTCACGTAGTGGAGACATGAACAATAGTGAGTCTTCTGTCCAGTATGAAGGACACAGTGTACTAGAGACAGGTAAACACTGTCTGTCAGATATGAAACATCAGAATGTTGGTGTCCCAGTAAACAATGTTCCTAGTAACACCAATTACAGTGACTTGCCTGAGGGCCACAATGATGAGGTAACTGTACAAACTTCAGCTAACACAACAACACACACCATCCAGCAGAGAGATATTAAACTAAGCAAGGATGCACACAAAAAATCACAGCCAGACTTTGATGTTACAACAGGTGATTCAACTTCGAATCAAGTATTTTGTCCCTACTTTGAAATTAGTGACGATTCCAATGAAAAATCCAGAGGGCAACCTGTTGCATGGTGTGACTCTCACAATGAGCTGCTTGCAGCACTTGATCTGAAAGTAATTCCTCTAACACTGTGGCAGTTTGATCTTAAAACATCACACTGGGCACAGCAAAAGGTAAATAGTAATCATATGACTGTAGAATAAATCCTGAATTATTTTTAGCATTTAACAGAATTCAAGTAATAACAACTGTAGAAAATTATTAGACAGCATTAATCCAATTGTCATAATTTGGACATCAACATAATACTTCATCTGAATATATAAATGTATTCTTTTTGCCTTTAAAAATTTTCAGAATACTTTTATTCATGATGAACAATATCCTTTTGTTCACTGTGGAACTATTTAGTGCAAGGATGTATGTGGAATATTTTACATGCTATATTTATTCGCAGACATGATGTCATAACATTGACTGTAACTCATTTTAGGCCTTGTACTCAACATAAAACTGTCATTGTAATCATTGCATTAAGTCTTTTTACTAAAATGAAATGACAAATGTTAGTGTTAATGAAGTGCTACAATAATTTTTAACACGTTTAGTAATAGATTTCCACAAGGTGGACAGTATCATGTTACATATGTCATTTAAGGTTATTCACACTTTCTCACATAATTACTATAGTGAGATTTCTTCACCCCTTTCTAAATAGACGCTATAACAGATTCAGTAAACAATGTCAGTTGTTCCTACTACCAAATGGAACGAACAAGTTTGTGGATCTTAGAACTTAGTCTGTACCCCCTGTTTGGGTCACTTCTGCAGAACTTTCCAATAGCAATTTCACTATTACAAAAACTAGGCTCAAGCAGACCTAATAATGTTTCAGCTGCATGGATTTCAGTCTGCATATCATCATTAACAATAAATATACTCAACAGATGACAGAAGTAATTTTTCAGCCCAGTCGAAATATTGTGGGTATGTGCAAGTACATTAACCATCTTTTCTTTTACCAAGTTAATTCTAGGTGAGTAGCCTTCACTGTAATTTTATAAGGCTGTTCACAGATCTGTAAAGCTCTTATTCTTGCTGTTGTTTCAAGCTCATTTATTTCAGTTTCCTGAAAGAGCTTATATTTTCATGTTTTACTTTGCTCAGATTATCTCAATTTATTTATATTACAGTCTACAATAATTAGAACTTAATATGCTCTATTTCAACTAATAATTATCATCACCCTTTGTCAAGCCACTGTTTCTTCTGCTTTAACTCAAAATAAGCTTCACTATAATCATGCAAATTGCACCATCAACATAACATAAAAGTATCTTCAAGATGAAGATAAAATAAATACTACTGTATCAATATTTACACGAATATCAAACATACAACAGGATGCAAACTGTAAAAATTAAGCTTCACTTTCTTCAATTGAAGTTCTGATATTCTTTCTCATACTTTTCCAGCCCTCATTTACGTGCTTGAGATTTGAATGTGATACTACAATGATTAGTCTTTTGGGATGTAATGGTGTGTAGTCTGGTAGAAAGATAATATTGTTTGTGAGGAACCTACTGCCCCCATCTTCTGAAGATGGAGACATTCACTGCTTCAAGAACCCCAAATCTCACAACCTGATCTTATTTTTAAACTTCCTATTTACTTAGCTTCTAAAATCTAATCCTTCCACACAAAAGCATAACTTTAGCACTTAATTGCTGAGTCGTGGCCTCCGTAGTCTAGAGGTAATGTTCCCACCTCATGACTCGTGGTATGCGGGTTCAAACCCGGCGGAGGTCATGGAATTTTTAAGGGTAGAAAAATTCAGGGAACAAGTCCTCCGGGAGGGACTTTAAGCCGTGGGTCCCGTGTCGTACCTTTACAGCACGTAAAAGAACCTCATATCTCCAAAGGTCACTGAGCCAAATTCAAGGTCATTTCCCACCCAACAGTAGTCTCTAATGCCTCTGATAGATGGGGGAAGCATTATAGATACCGCCAAGCCAGTAGAGGCCAAACTTGCTGGCTCGGTCGGGACTGATGGTACGCACCAATATCGGTAGGGTAAAGAGACTGGTAGAATATCATAGAGGGAAGCACAATGGACCAATACTGGTCTAAGTGCATGGGGAAACCCACCCTCTCCAATAACTAATTGCTGAGTCTCTCTCCCCAATACCTGTTTTGGAATTTGGTACATTTTGTGATCATTCATCTGAATTTGTTTGACCAGAAATGGAATTTGTCGATTCCAGTGTTGTAGCCTCTAAGGTTTCAGTGTCTTCTGAAATATGATATTGCATATTGTGGTAGCTGTTTGCTTATGTTTTGGGGGAATGTGCTGCCTCCTTCACCCAATGGAGGCAACACATTTCTCAAATGCTATAAAAGTCTTCCAGTCTACATGGCACCTTATCCCAGAAAACAATAATCGTTATAGTTACTGCTGTGAAATCACAAATTTCACATGCTGTATGCCAGGTAATTAATTTTTGCTGTGGCAACTCCACTGAATGTTCATCTTCGGTCATATGAAATTGTCATACAAATTACACATTTATTACATTTTCTACCTGTTTTTGTTTTCTTTCTGAGTCTTTTCTATTGTGGCATACTGAATGGTTTGCATTCTGTAAAATTGCATCTCCCCCCCCCCATAATGCCCTTCGCACTATTGCAAGAAATGCCCATTGCTTCTGGAATTCTATTTAACACTTAATTTCAAAGATCAGAAGCCCATTCTGTCTCCCGATTCATGAACACTAAGTTTCTTACCTTGTCTGGAGATGTTTCACACTATTCCATCCAGTCTGTTTGACACTGTCATCCTACTTCATGATTGTGAATATGTGCAGAACAGGGAGTAATGCATGATACACTCATAAAGCTACCAGAAACTAGGCTGCTGTGTTATGATCAACAATAAAGCCCATCCTTTACTTTCTGCTGCAAGAAAAAGGAAAGTTTCAAAGGGTTAGGTTCTTGTCTTGCTTAATGAACTTATGCATAATGTGTGGCCAGATCTTGTTCACCTACTGTTTCTTTAATTTCCGGAATCTTGTCAATTCAACAAATCTAGACTTTCTAGAATGTTCTGAAACCCTATGGCACAGCAGCTGAAGAATTATTCATGATTTTTTTATTGTTAGTGGGGTGGGACTAAGTCCCTTGCACTGCAGACACTTCTGACCTATTGTACCAGCCCCAGATGATAGGTGAAGGTGATTGTGGAGCAATTCGTGGAATGAAGATTGGCAGGGGAAATCGAAGTACTTGGAGAAAACCTGCCCCAGCGCCACTTTGTCCACCACAAATCCCACTTGACCAGACCCAGAATCGAACCCAGGCCACCGTGGTGGGAAGGCAGTGACTAGCTGCTTGAGCTATGGTGTGGCCTCATTATTCATGATAATCACTAATCTCAGAGCTCAGTGTGTTGACTGTGTTACCTGTACTGAAAATTGCACTTTGCTGGAATCAGTACAATGAAACTCACATGAATGATTTATATAATTACACTATGTAAATGCCTTAAAATTATCTCCAAAATATTATCAGTGACTGTCATGAAAAGCAGAAAAGAACAAGATTTGTTTGCACTATGTGGGAAGGTTACAAATTCAGAGATGTGTACTACTGTTACTGACATCAGTTCTCTGAAAAGTTTACATCAAAGTTAGCAGTTAGGACACCATCAGAAACAGCTGTGAATTCTTCTGTTAAAATTGCAGCTCCCTCAATTTTACTGGCTGAGAGTGAGGTATGGCAGGAAGTAGGCTTTATGACTTATGCTTGGAAGTCCTTGTTATCATTCTACAGATCCTATAAACCATGTCTAAAATATGTCTGATTGACTTCTATTTTTAAAGCTGAGGCCAATGCCATACATTCAACTCCTCAAGCACACGTGTATGGATAATATAAATAGTATAACTTGATTCTTGCAGAGATGTAAATGTTACAGTGGAAGACCAAGACACTGCTGAAAGTTGGTACTTTTAAATATTTATTATCTGTTACTATTCACACAGGCTAAAGATATGTTTTCATTTAGGTTTACATAGAAGAAGGCACCCTGTGGCCAGGATGTTCATCTAATATTCGTTACACATCTACTGGCAGCATTGTGTACATCCTTTGTCCACCTTATGGAGCTACAAATGCGACTTCCACTCGCCTTGTATACAGCATTGATGCTAATAATGCAACCCTTCAAGCCTCAGGCCAATTGCAGCTTAATGCTCTGTTTGGAAACCAGGATGGGAATTCCATTTGGGCAGATGAAACCAAGACAATTCTACAGACAGTTGATACCCACAACAGGACATTGTTACTCATAGCATACGACAAACTGCTTGATATTTGGGTCTTAGACAGAAACAGTGACCACCGTAATTTTATACCAGTTGAAAACATTTGGCAAGGTAATGCTCTGAAATGGTTCCGTGGGTTTGATGCGCCCTTTTACAACTTACAGATTGCAGGCCAATCATGGCTGCTGCCTAATCCGAGGCACGTAACACAATATTGGCCACGTGAAAGAGGTAGATTCATTATTCGCCTGATAGGCCATGGGGAAAATTCTTCTGGTGCCAGTCCAATCAAAGAAGTTCTACACACACTGGAAATGAAGAACCATTCAGAAACCAGCACTCCAATCCTGCAGCATCACCAGGCTCAGGATGGAATCAAAGCATTAATGTTCTTTGCATTTTCTCTTTCAATATTTGCAATATTTGGCATGGCAGTATTTGTCAAGCGATGTGTAACATGCCCACCAAGGTCTTGGCCTCTTTGTGATGATGATGGAAGCAAGATATCATCTCCTGTTATAAGATACAGTGTCATACCTGATGACCTGGCATATCCTGTAGCATAACACTGTTATTTCTGTGTACCTAAAGCAAGGAAATATGTCTGTTCTGAGGGTACAGTATCTGCTAGAAGTGACAGCAGAAACTTCCTATTATGAAGTACAGTCCATAGCTGCACTGGGGCATGCAGTAATGAGAAGTTACTGATGTGTCCACTGATCTGATTGAAAAATTCCACTATTTCATAGCAGTTAAATATGAATACATATTCAGAGCCTGTGGGATACTTCTGGAAAAAGCTATCTCAAGGTACCATTGCATTATTTAGTTGACACTGGCATTTCAGTATGATAATATATGCATTTGAGTATAAGAACAGACAAATCAAAAGAGGAAACTGTCCTAGTTACTTCAAGTAACCTGTTGCAGTGTTTCACCCAATCCGAAATCAGCAACGAAACAAATTTTGATATTTCAATTTCATTTGAAGAAAAAATTGTAAAGATTACTGTTGTCTGGAAAGTGTTGCAGTGTAGTCTGGACGACAGACCCAACGTTTCTTAGGAACCTGTTACCTCAGTCTTAAAGGTAGAAGAATGTTGATATCTATCTACCAAACTATACAGTATCACATCTGGGAGACTGTAATCTTAATATTCACCACTGTAAGAACCTCAAATCTTATGAAACTGGAATTGTTTGTTAGGTGCAAGGTGCTGTACCTAAGAGAGTAAGCTGTTTTAGCAGTATGTTTTGAATGAACACAGGACTACATATATACAATTCTCTGTATATAACAATTGGGTACACACAGCTACTGTAAAGGTAAAGTTGTCCCTGTGCTCAACTATTTAAGCACTATGCCATTAAGGCATATGGGGGAAGCTGTATATATCATCATTATTCTTAATTCATTATTGCAGGATTTGTGATGATCCAGGAAGGTACATACTTGTATATGGAGATGACATAGGTATTGTATGAGGTCTCTTACTGATGTATCTGCAAGCTTATTTTTGGTGCTGCTGGATAGAGCAGGAATAAAACTCCACTTGTGAGAAGCAGCAACCTCATTCCCCTATCACTGATGTGCATCGCAATACTAGAATGCATAAAGAATTGGGCCAAATTAATTCTCTGCTATGAATATGTACTTAAAATTATTAGTATAGAGAGTTTAGAGGGTGCTAATTAGTCATAAACATAATTATCTGATGAGACTAATTAGGTTTAATAGCAACCGTAAGTTATGTTTGAGGATGTAATTTCAATTTGACCAAAGGACTATATATTAAAGCAATATATGCAGATCTACCATTCTGTAATATAGTATAGCTAATAAATCTGAAATTGTGATGCGTTCAGATATTTGGGAATGACAGTAATGAGTTAAAATTACATTTATGAAGGAATTAAGAGCATTCAGGGAATGTTTCTTATTTATCAGTTTCAAAATATTTTGCCTTCTCATCTCCTATCTTAAACTGTAAAGATTAAATATGCTGCATGTAATTTTATCTGGTCTTTCAACACATAACACAGATTGAGGGCGTTTCAGAACAGTGTGCTGAGGAGAATATCTGAATCTAAGTGACAGGAGATCGGTGACAAACGCATAATAAGGAACTTCATAAATTGTATTATTCACTAGATAGTATGGTGATGATCAGATCAAGGAGGATGGTATTGATGGGGTATGTAGCACACATGGGAGACACGAGAAATGCATGCAAAATTTCTTCAAGGGGTAGGGTTTGCGGATGTGTACTAACGTGGTTCAGAATAGGGTCAAGTGGCAAGCTATTTCAAACACAGTAATGGAATATTATATTTAAGTATCCTGTTATTTTAAAATTTAAAATTTTTTTATATTTAAATAGAAGATTTTAAAAATATCAAAATTCAAAAATCAAATTGACGTATGTAAATTAACAAAGATTTTATACATATCTGACAAATATCAGCAGGGGGATTCTGATATATCGGGACCTATTAACAAAGGAGAAACGAACAATTAAGAAAGCTGGTGTTTTTAAATTTTAAACTATGTGCAGTGTAACAGCTATGTGAGAGAAATACACCTGATGATGGCCATTTACGGCCGAAACATGTAGTGTAGAGGAAGAGAAGACAAAAGAACTACAATAAATTGTTGCACTTAGGACGGAGTTTGTGTCATACATACAGTAATGGATCTCTTAGTTTTATAAAGGTAAATTTCTAGAGCAGCTGAACAGATGATAGCTTCTCAAGAACAAATTTTCTCCATGAAGTTAATTAGGCTACAACATAATATAAAATGCAAAACAGGAACTGTTTTCAGAACAGGGAAACCCAGATATACAGAGATGAATTCCCCTGAATATTTAGTGTTCATGTTTCATCTCTATATGTCTCATGCAAGTGACTCCAGAAATGCTTACTTACCATACCATAATAAACCATATAGTTCACTAAAACAATTTACTCACAATACATTCCATTTGAAAGTTTACATTCTCACAGCAGTGAATCTTAATATTTTGGTTTTCTGGGATGTGACATTGTGTAGTTTGATACAGAGATGCCAACATTTCAGGGAACCTGTTGCTCCCATGGTGTATGATACAATGAACTCTGACAGAAAGGTATATTTGCGGAACCTACTGCCACTCATCTACACTGAAGATGAAGGCAGCAGTTTCCTTAAAAATGCTGCTACCTATCTACCAAACTAACATCAAATCCCAGAAAATTAATCATAATATTCCGATCTGCTGAAACATGTAAGGTGCCATTTTCTAGTAAGGTTTAGTACTAAGATTTGTACATATTTATAAATATTTATATACAGTGTTCAGTGTAGAAGAGGAATAGGAAAGAAATTATTTGTATACAGTAAAGAAATACAGCTTAGCATAACTGGAATAAATTTTTGCATGAGTTTAGAAATGTTGTTACTGAAAGAAATGAGGATCTGACTCTTAACAATTATCTAAATTTATTTTCCAGTTGGGCAAATAAGTTTTGACTCATTTTTAATTTTGCGCCAGGTGATCTGGATTGTTAGGTGATGCAACAAGAGAGAGCCCATATGGAAAGTTTGGATAAGCTGTGTTCAGTATTCGCTGAACAGTAGCTTGTTAGATCACTGTGTGTCCTCAACTTTGTCCAGATGTGAAAATGGAGCATGTGATGGAACAGAGAATGAATGTGAAATGTTGGGTTAAACTTACCAAGTGAAACATTAAAGATGTTAAAAGCAGTTTATGGTGAATCTACTATGACCAAGAGTAACGTTTTTATGTGGTAAAACGTTTCAGAGAAGACAAAGAAGATGTGAATGATGATGAAAGGGAAGGTTACCCATAACGAAGCAAATGGATGAAAATGTAGCAAAAATCAGGGAACTTATGTGATCTGACTGCTGGATCACTTGCAGGATGAGAGCTGATGAGCTTGAGATGGGCAAAAAGACTGTTAGGAAAATTTTAGTACAGGATCTTGGCTTGAGAAAGTTAGCAGTGAAGCTCATGCCACAAAACTTGACAGAGGAACAAAAGGACATTTCACTTTGTGCATGGACTCTGTGGAACAACTTCAAGAAGATAATTTCTTGGATCATGTAATCTTCGGTGATGAAACATGGTGTTATCAGCATGAACCCCAGACCAAACGCCAGTCAATGGAGTGGAGATCGAAGAATTCCCCCAGGACAAAGAAGCTATGGATGTCAAAGTCCAAGATCAAAACAATGTTGACCTGCTTTTTTGACATCTGGTGTATCATTCACTTTGAATTTGTACCCAAAGGGACCACTGTTAATGAGACATTCAATGTGAAGGTGTTGAAAAGGCTTATTGATTCGGTAAGGTGCAAGTGAGGAGAGTTGTGGAGAAATTACTCATTGATTCTTCACACAAAACCATGCCAGCTCATTCTTCACTTTGAGGGTCACAGTATTTAGCTGGAAAAGTCATTTCTGCCACGCCCTTACAACTTGGCTCCAGCTGACTTCTGGCTGTTTTCAAAACTCAAGAGTGTGCTGAAAAGAAAGTGTTTCTTAGACGTTGAGGACATCAAATCATTTATAATCAAAAATTGATAGACATTCCTGTTCATGATTTTAAAATCTATTTTGAACAATGGCTGAAGTGCTGGCAATATTGCAAAGAACTGGAGAGAGATTACTCTGAAAAAATCTAAGTTGCTAATATCTGCCACTTTTAAAAAAAAGTTTCAAAACTTATTTGCCTGACCTTGTATATTCATATAAATCAATTGCCATGACAATCACAAAGTATGACACAGTGGGGCATGATTTGCAGACTAAGCATGATACGTTATGCATAATTTAATAAGGTTTGGTTTCATATCACTGAAGATTTAATTCAAAGATGTCAAAAGAGTTAATGTTGCAAACCCTCAGAAATTTCATACAGTATAAGTATTTTATACACTTTCTCCTATTTATAAATCATCAAATGTAAAATTTTTACCTGAAACTTTATACCAGTGTAAAGTACGTGAAGCTGCCTTTGTGGCACGCATGCAGCACACTCATCTGTGATACATATCTTATATATTATGTTTACTTTTAACATAGCTGCACCATTCTTACTTTTATTTATCTAACACTTTCTCTCGTGATGAACTTGCTATACTTCAGCTTAAAATGTACTGATTTCTTAAACTGACAGATAAGTAATAAGTAACAAGTTGTATGATTATTTAAGAATTATTTTGTCCTTTTCTAATGTTTGAAGGCGAGAGATACAACAAAAATTAAGGATTGCATTTTATTTGTACTGTAAGTTTGGCAGTTTTAATGTAGCTTGTCAGCATTGTGTTTTGTCACACTAAGAACAGACAGATAACATTTCAGTTTTCACCCTGTGCCAAAACTGATTTCCAATGCTGAACTAAGCAGAATGCACTATTTCCTACAGTGATACTATTTTAGGTCAATATAACAAGTGGAATTAGGAATATACATAAGTTTTCATTTTGAAAGTCAGTTATTTTCGGTGAATTGTACATTTTTTCAGACTTCATTTGTAAAATATATCAAAAGAAATATAATTATAGCCATGGCTCTTTCTCTCAGCTGACACCAAGTGTGCATCCCACCAAACATTTTTTTTTCCTTTTCATAAGAAAAGCACAGATGATAACTATGATGGCTAGTGTTATGTGGTAATTAGTATTATATTTTTTAACTTCAGCTTCTCGGTTCATCAAGCTACAATGTAAAGCCCTACCTTTCATTGTAATTTTTTGGGCAGAACTAATAATGAAGTTCACTATGGGTATGAATGAGAAGTAGACTTCTGAATTATGATATAATAATATATGATACAGTATTATATATTATAAGACATATAAAAATATTTACAAAGATTATTTTCTCCAATTCAGATTGAACTTAAACAGTCATGGGACTGATCTTCAATCAGAAAACTGAGTGAAAAGTTTAGACTTTTAACTGTCTCCCATATGTTCAGTAACTTCACAAGGACTGTTACTCTTCCAAATTCTCAGGTTAATATAATTAACACTTCCTTGTAAACAAAATGTTGTTTTGTACCTGAACAAAAAATTTGGCTGTAAAAAATTTATCTTCACAAGTCTTGAAAGAAAGTCACAGCAAAATATTTAGTGAACTTCTTGTTTACAACTGCGAGTGGAAAGATTCATGTGGAAAAATGTGGTAGCTCAAGTGGCACGAGTCATGAACTTAATCATATAAGCTACTCAGATGTGTTTAACTTTCATATCTGTGCCTTTCAGTTCATGTGCAATGCTACAGTAAAAGGGTATACACTTCATGCATATGACCTGTATATATAACCTCACCTCAGAGGCATGCAGGGACCAGCATTGGAAGCATTGAGCATGAACAGTTTCATAAGTTCATGTGTGTTATCTGAGCTATACAGGCAGGCCCTTTCTGTTTTGCAGCACTCTCTTTATCCCGTCTATAATGAATTCAAAATTCATCAGTTAACACTAATGTTTTGCGTGTTTAGCCTATATTATCATACATATTTGAATTTGTACTTGATGCTGTTTATAACACTAACTTTCGCCGACAAGCGGCGGTCGTTCAGTCGGTATAGTTCA